AATCAAAGGAAAGACAAACACAATGGCAAATACAGATGTTAACATATCAATATTAACTCTAAATGTAAATGGACTAAACTCTTCAATAAAAAGACACAGAGTGGCAGCCTGGATTAAGAAACAAAACCCAACCTTTTGCTGTCTCCAGGAAACACATTTAGCTACAAAAGATAAAAATAGGCTCAAAGTTAAAGGATGGAAAACAATCCTACAAGCAAATGGACCAAAAAAGAAAGCAGGAACAGCTATACTTATATCAGATAAACAGATTTCAAACTCAAAAAGATAAAAAGAGACCCAATGGTCACTACATTATGATCAAGGGGACAATACTTCAAGAAGAAATAACACTCATTAACATATACTCACCAAACGAAGGAGCACCAAAATATATCAGACAACTGTTGTCCTCTCTGAAAACAGACATCAGAGAAAACACATACGTAGTGGGAGACTTCAACACACCACTATCAACAATGGATAGATCAACAAGACAAAAAATAAGTAAAGAAACCAAAGCTCTAAATAAGGACCTAGAGCAATTAGGCTTAACAGACATCTATAGAACACTAAACCCCAAAAAAACGGAGTACACATTTTTCTCAAGCGCACACGGATCATTCTCCAGGATCGATCACATACTGGGGCACAAGACAAACATCAACAGATACACCAAGATTGAAATCATATCAACCATCTTTTCTGACCATGAAGGCATCAAACTAGAAATAAACCATAAAAAGAAGGCAAGGAACTTTCCTACCTCATGGAGATTAAAAACCACACTACTGGAAGACCATTGGACTAATGAGGAGATCAAAGAAGAAATTAAAAAATTTTTTGAATTGAACGACAAGGAGGACACTAATATCCTAAATGTATGGGATGCAGCAAAAGCAGTAATAAGAGGAAAATATATAGCAATAGAAGCTCACATCAAGAAACAAGAAAGAACGCAAAGAAACAACCTAATCTCGAAGCTCAAAGATCTAGAAAAAGAAAACAAAAAAACCCCAAAACCAGTAGAAGAAAAGAAATAATAAAAACCAAAGCAGAAATAAATGAAATTGAAACTAAAAAACAATCCAAAAGATCAATGAAACCAAGAGCTGGTTTTTGAAAAAATCAATAAAATAGACAAACCCCTAGCCAGGCTCACAAAGGAAAAAAGGGAGAAAGCACAAATAAACAGGATCATCAATGAAAGAGGAGAAATCACAACGGACACAGCAGAAATCAAAGAATAATCAGTAACTACTATGAACAGTTATATGGAAACAAGTTTAACAATCTAGAGGAGATGGACAAATTCCTACAACTCTACAATCACCCAAAGCTAGATAAAGAAGAAATAGAACACCTAAACAGACCAATTACAATTAGCGAAATTGAAATGGTAATAAAAAACCTCCAAAAACAAAAGCCCAGGACCTGATGGATTTACAAATGAATTCTACCAAACATTCAGAGACGAATTAGTGCCTATCCTTCACAAACTCTTCCAAAAAATTGAGAAGGAAGGGACAATACCAAACACGTTCTATGAAGCCAACATTACCTAATACCAAAACGAAAAAGGACAACACAAAAAAGGAAAACTACAGGCCAATCTCCCTAATGAACACTGATGCAAAAATCCTCAATAAAATTTTAGCTATCAGAATCCAACAATGTATCCATAAGATAATTCACCACGACCAAGTTGGATTCATTCCAGGGGCACAAGGATGGTTTAACATCCGAAAATCAATCAACGTTATCCAACACATCAACAAAAAGAAATATAAAAACCATATGATAATATCAATAGATGCTGAGAAAGCTTTCGACAAAGTGCAACACCCATTCATGATAAAAGCCCTTGAAATTCTTGGGATACAAGGAACATACCTCAACATCATAAAGGCCATCTATGACAAGCCAACAGCCAGTATCATTCTCAATGGTGAAAAGCTGAAAGCAATTCCATTAAGATCTGGAACAAGACAAGGATGTCCACTCTCACCATTGCTTTTCAATATAATACTGGAAGTCCTAGCCAGGGCAATAAGACAAGAGAAAGACATCCAAGGAATCCAAATAGGAAAAGAAGAAGTCAAACTATCACTATTTGCAGACGATATGATATTATACATAGAGAACCCCAAAAACTCCACAGAAAAGCTAATTCAACTCATCAATCAGTTCAGTAAAGTGGCAGGATACAAAATCAACACGCAAAAGTCAGTAGCCTTCCTATACACAAACAATAAATCTGAAGAAGAAGAAATCAAAAAGACCATCCCTTTTGTTATTGAAACAAAAAAAATCAAATATTTGGGAATAAATCTAACAAAAGAGGTAAGGACCTATACAAAGAAAACTATAAAACACTGTTAAAAGAAATAGAAGAAGACACAAAGAAATGGAGAGACATCCCCTGCTCATGGATTGGAAGAATAAACATTATTAAAATGGCCATCCTACCAAAAGCAATATACAGATTCAATGCTATTCCAATCAAAATTTCAATGTCATTCTTCAAAGAAATAGAACAATTATTGATGAAATTCATATGGAATCACCAAAAACCCCGAATAGCCAAAGCTCTCCTGAAAAAAAAAGAAGGGAATGGAGGCATCAGACTCCCAGACTTCAAACTATACTACAAAGCCATAATCATCAAAACTGCATGGTATTGGAACAAGAACAGACATACAGACCAATGGAATCGAATAGAAAATCCAGAAATAAACCCACAGATTTATGGTCAACTAATCTTTGACAAAGGAGCAAAGACTATGCATTGGAGCAAAGAAAGTTTGTTCAATAAATGGTGCTGGGAAAACTGGGTCGCTACATGCAAAAGAATGAAGCTTGACCACCACCTCACACCATACACAAAAATCAACTCAAAATGGATTAAAGAACTAGACATAAGACCTGAAACCATAAAATATATAGAAGGAAATATAGGCGAAACACTACGTGATTTGCACATCAAAGACATCTTTACAGACACATCACCCAAAGCAGTGATAGTGAAGGCAAAGATAAACAGATGGGACTACATCAAATTAAAGAGCTTCTGCACAGCAAAAGAGACAATAAAAAAACAAAGAGAAACCCCACCAACTGGGAGAACATTTTTGCACCCAACACTAATGATAAAGGACTGATCACAAAAATCTGCAAAGAGCTGATGAGACTCAACAACAACAAAGAAAATAATCCAGTCAAAAAATGGGCAGAAGAGCTTAAAAGAAACTTCTCTGAAGAGGAAATGCAAATGGCCAACAGGCATATGAAAAAATGTTCAACATCACTTGTCATCAGGGAAATGCAAATCAAAACTACCATGAGATACCATCTTACACCAGTGAGAATGGCACATATTAAAAAAACTAGCAACAACAAATGTTGGCGAGGGTGTGGAGAAAAAGGAACTCTTCTGCACTGTTGGTGGGAGTGCAAACTGGTCCAACCACTGTGGAAAGCTGTATGGAGATTTCTGGACCTACTAAACATAGAGCTTCCATATGATCCAGCAATTCCACTCCTAGGTATTTACCCAAAGGACACAGAAACATCAATTCCAAAGAACACCTGCACCCCTATGTTTATAGCAGCACTGTTTACAATAGCTAAGCTTTGGAAACAACCCAAATGCCCAAAGTAGATGACTGGATCAAGAAGATGTGGTACATATATACCATGGAATATTACTCAGCATTCAAAAAAGATAAACACACGCAATTTGCAGCAACATGGATGGCGCTGGAAGGGATCATGCTCAGCGAAATAAGCCAAAAAGAAAAAGAAAAATACCGGATGGTCTCACTCATAGCAGGAATCTAGAAAACTTAAATAAGGGACCAGGAAAATGAATAACTATAAGAAAGTGAAAATCAAAATCAACAAAAAACTATGAACCAGAGACACTTTTAGGGGGCGGGGGTGGGAGGGGAGGGATTGGGGTCAGAATGGGGGGGCTGCAATTGTATGGGGAATATAACAATAAAATTTATTAAAAAAAAAAAAAAAGAAATGGAAAGTGTAGTATGTTCTAAGATTAATCATCATTATGGAGAAAAGCTATCATTGCAGTCATAAAATAAGACAGGATCTTTGTGGATTGTGTTATGGAAAGGAAGGAAGCAAATACAACTTATGTCTCGAGGCCATCTGTGTGGATCCACCAAGCCCCCTTGTTCTTGGGATTGTGTCTGGCACCCAAAGTTGCTGCTGGTTAAGCTAAAGTAGTGTGAGGCTGGGGCCTCTCACCTGGACAAAAGTTTGGTATGAGGAACATACTGGGAAACCAGTACCTGCTGAAAACATCAGGCAGACACTATGGCCACATTACCATAAGCAGCTAGACCACCTTGACAGGAAGTTCAGTGTGAACAGGGACTAGAGATAGGAAGTTTTGATCAGCAACAACAATGGAAAGCACAAGCAACAACCCCTATTCACTCTCCCAAGCTTGTGCCAGACTATTATGCAGCCCCAATCCACATCCCCGCCAAGGACATTACTCCACATACTTGCCCACCTTCCCTGAATCTGATACCAAATAAATGAGTGACTGGCCAGGATATTGGCACAGTATCTCCAGACATGTAGTCCCCTGGGCCTTTCTCTCTCTCTGTCTCACTAGTTAGACTTTGAGTTATTGTCCCTCTGTCCCCTCCAGCTCCCAAGATTGATGCCCCATGAGGTGACACACATGGGTGATGCCCCATCTGCACAGGGTGGGGGAAGCATCTACTGTGCAATGTGGAGGCTGTGAGCACAGGGCAGGTTCTTGTCTCACTTCCCCATGAATTTGCACCACTGTGATAATAAAAACTACTACTGTATGAGCCACAATAATACTCAGCCTCATCCTCAGGCTTGAGACCAGAGATGGTCAAGGTGGCCGTGTTGCCTGACCTGGAGCCAGAGAAGCGATCAGGAATCCCTGAGGGCTGGGAACTGATATCATAAATGAGGACCTTGGGTGTCTTGCCATGGAGCTGCTAGTACCAGGACACATGATTATAACCCCCAATGTCATTGCTGGTCCCAGCACAGGAGATGGTGACTGACTGTCCCAGAGTCCCAGACACTGAGGAAGGCTGAGTCAGAGCAGACTGGGCCCAGGAACCTGAAAAGAGGAAAAACACACGCAGGTGAATTCAATCTGGGCCCAGGTGAGCCTGAGCAGGAGATAAAGGGTCAGCTGTGATGTGTTCAGTGTCCCTTCCCTGAAGGCCTCACCTGTGGCCTGAGTGAGGAGGGTGAGGAGGAGCACAGTCCAGGCCATGCTGGAGACAAGCCAAGGTCTCTGCCTTCTGATGCCCCAACCTGGGGCTGGCTCCCCCAGATGTCTCTTATCCCCTCCCCGTGCCTAAGACGAGGGAGGGGCCTCTATGCAAATCTGCTTCCTTAGTGCTAGATTCAAGTCCTAGGTCACAGATGTGTTCATTTCAACTTTCTTGCATTTTCTTCCATGTCACCACTTCCACAGTTAAAATAAACCAACCTCCCCAAACCTGGACATGAAATCACAGAAACTTTCACATATTTGTCTCCTTCTCTCTTTAAAATTTGTAAGACTATTCTTTATTTCGCTCTTTTTTTTACTGTGTGGGTTTAAAACTGATTTATTTTTCAAATGAAAAGTACCAATTTATGGTTCAGGTTCCATCTGGGATGTAGAGAGCATGCAACGTCATTTCTTCTCTGAATGCAGCTATAAACCTAGAACATGCAGGGAGTGGCTATTATAAAGGGAATCAGAAATGTCACTGGAAAATGAAACCTGCATTTAAAGGGACAGCAAATGGCCTCCCCCATGGCGCAGCAGTTGAGCGCTGGGTTGCGAAGATGCCCGCAGCCTTTGAAGTGCCGGTTCGATCCCCAGCTGCTCCATGGCCACAGGAGGAGGGTCCCACATGGCGCGCAGACCTCTCCTGCCGCCCGCTGCTCCCCTCAGCAGTGTACTTTGGTCCTTCTGCCTGCTCTGCTCCCCGCTCTGTCTCTGGTGAATTCTCTCACCCTCCCACTTCTGACTGTACCCAGTGCTTGCTTAAATAAATAAATAAACAAACAAACAAATAAATCTTAAAAAAAAAATAAAATAAAGGACAGCAAACCAGAAACAGTTTCCTGTTTTTCCTTTTGTTCCATGGTCTGAGTTTGAAATAACACTGCTGTTTTAGGATATCTGAGTCCTGCTTCGTCCTAGGAAAATCTCAGAGGTAAACATTCATGGGACTTCATCCACTTCAGGATCAACCACAGCAATGAAGGTCCCCAAAACCCAGTCCCTTGCTGTCCCCTGGTGACCACTGAGGGTGCAGCCCAAGTCCTGTGGATGCAGCAGAGCTTTAGCAGGACATCCCTGCCCTGTCCTCTCTCAGCTCCTGCTCTTCCCTCACATTTGTAAGAGAAATCTGCCTCCTAGTGCCCTCCAAGTAGTTCTCCCTTTTCCTTCAGCTTTTGAAACAAACAACTAAACAAAAAGTGGAAAAGAGAAACAATTACATGACTTCTGAAGTTAGCCCATTTTGAAATAAGCACACAGGAGATATCTATAGAAAGGACGCAGTATTCCAGAAAACCAGTAAACAAATGAAAGCTATGATATAAACAATCATATTTAAAAAATCAAACTACTAGGCCTCCCCGGGGGCACAGCGGTTGAACACTGGGTTGCGAAGCTGCCCGCAGCCTCTACAATGCCGGTTCGATCCCCCGCTGCCAGGCCAGGGTCCCACATGGTGCTTGCAGACCTCTCCTGCCGCCTGCTGCTCGCCTCAGCAGTGCATTTTTTGTCAGTCTGCCTGTTCTGTTCCCCGCTCTGGCTCTGGTGAATTCTCTCACCCTCTCACGCTTCTGACTGTACCCAGTGCGTGTATAAATAAAAATTTTAAATCTTAAAAAAAAAAAGAATACAGCGCCTGCTGTTTGGCTAGACTTTTTCCACGAGGGGTAGGATAACTTCGGGTGATTGATTTGGGAACTATAGTCTTTGTCTTTTCTGTATAGCACACTAATTACATTGCAGTTTCTTTTCAACAAAGGTTTTATATGTTTTTTAATGTGGCGGATGGCAGGACATATTTAGAGCAGGCAGATTTGGGTGTTCTGCAGTGCCCCTCTCCCTGTCCTATAACAGATTGGGTGACACAGCAGGACAACCCTGATTCAGTTTCTGAGGAGAGTACATTAAAATCAAAATAATTTTTCAAATAATTTCTCCCTGAGTCTTCTCCCACCCCAGAGTTAATGTTGTATTTGTGTTCCTTCACTCTCTGTCTCTCTCTCTTTCTCTCTGTCTGTCTGTCTGTCTCTCTCTCTCTCTCTCTCTCTCTCTATCTCGATCTTCACTCCATCCTTCGTGTTCTCTACCACACCCCTGACTCCACTCACCCCACCTTAGAGCAGAGGAGGGGAACAGAGTCTGATCTTCCCCCATGTATCCCTTCCTGGAAAAAGATTCCTGATGCCAAGAAGACAGAGGAGTTACCCTCCCTGCATCTCAATGATAAGGCGAAGAGGAGATCCCAACCTAGCAGAAAAAAGCTAATCCCTCCATTCCCAGGGACAGAAGACAGGGATGGGACCTCTCAATCTCCCCTTAGGGTGGGCACACACAATCTGTTCCACTCTCTGCTTTGGCCTGAGATGAGCCTGGGGTGCTTACATATATGCAGAGAAGGCACTGAGTAGAGACAATGGACTTGACAGCTTTCCCCAATTGTTGACTAAGGAGAAAGAAGCTCTTAGAACCTGCTACAAGCCAGGTATCTCTATGTTAGCTGCGGACATTGCAGTCCCCAAACCAGGCTACACATCAGTGTCATCATTCAGTCAGTTACAATATGTTGCTTTGGCTAAAATGTCTGAAGAAAACAGCCCTCCCAGAGCACCTTCGATGGATGAGCAAACACGCCATTGGAGTGAAGCTTCTCAAACACACAGAAGAGCATGAGGGTGTGGGATGTGATGTCAGGACAGGGAGAAATGGGGAGGGTGAGTTTGGCAAAACCACACCAGTTAGATAATATCACATAATGTTATGCTGGTTCAGATGAGCATCAACAAACCAAGTGGTACGAGAAGGTGGACACTGAAAGGTAGGACTCAATTCTGTTTCATGCTGTTCCCTCGGCAACATTTGCAGAGCTTTTTCACAAGTGGTTTCGACCATGGATTGAAAATCTGCTTTTGATATAATTTTTAAGACCCACCCCAAGTTCACCCTAGAAAACACTTACACCTCGAATTTGAAAAGAAGGTGTAATTTTTTTTCTAACCAACAATATGGAAAAGGTGAGCAAACCATTCCCCATTGATTAGGTGACATTAAATGGCGCAGGTGACAGGATGGGTTCCTAGGATGACATTACGTGATATGAGACTCCGTCTTAGCCAGGAGCAGAAAGGACAGTAGAAACCACAGTGACTCAAGCAGGTGCATAGGCCAGTGCTGAGAGCAAATCTTAGGTTGCGGATCTATGTCCTGTGAACGTAGAGCACTGCAGGTAAAAGCTCTGGCTGTGCCAGGACCAACAGTGCTCATCAGCTTGACCTCAGGCAAGTCCATAGCTGGTCGAGGATCCCTGCTGCATACCTGAGTCTGGGACTCGAACTGGGACTCCTGAGGGCACAGAACTGACAGCACCATCAGAAAATCACATCCCACACCCTTGTGCTGACACTGTGGGACCAGGAGGTAGGATTAGAAATCTTGTGTGGATGCCTCACCCAGAGCAGACAATGTGACATCTGTCTCATGTGACACACGTAGACACTTTGTAAATGTCCCACTGATGGCCACACAGTCAAGGAGCATTGTGTAAGATGTGCAAGGACAACCAGACAGAAGCCCTTTGGCCACCTGGCTAGTCTCCATGGAGACACACCCACTACAGACAGGGGCAGCCTCTGCCAGCCTCACATACACAAGGGGGAGGGCCCAGAAGGTATTCTGTGTCCAGGAGCAACAGCCTGTCCCCATGTGCTGTGACCTGGCTACTGATGAGCCACTGATGTGTGACACCGACCAGCTGGGGGACGTCAGTGTGACTGGGAAATTAAGAAGGTTGGCTACAAAAGATTAGAAAAAATAATGAAGGGTAGGTTAGGAGGAGAATGACTTCTCATCGGGAATTGCCTCCCATCAGATCCTTGTTTCCTGATGTAGGAAATCCATCTGCAAGCTAGGGAGCCTGGACAGAGGTGTTTTCATTCACTTCCAGTCCAAGTGCCTGAGAACCAGCACACATGTGATGTGAATTTCAGCATTGGGAAGAGAATGAGGTGAAATAACCAAGCCCCAGCAGTGAGACTAGGAGAAACAATAAATTGCTCCTTCCCCTACCTTGTCCAATCAAACGCTCCCAGGCTGGAAGTTGTCCACGCAGTTGACTTTACTGAGTCCACCAGTACAAACGCTAGTCTCAAGCAGGACACTGGCACAGACCCAGAACAATCCTGGTGAGTCCAGGTGCTGCAGGCACACTCTTGCTCACATCACAGTGACTCTTCCTCCTGAGGTGCTGGGGCTGGGTCCTGGCCAGAACATGTCACGTTCAGAAGTAAAAGTGGGAAAGTTCTGGTGGAATGGACAGAGTTAGTCATGGCCCGGTGCCTCTGGTGCTGAAACCTACCTTCATTCAGATGTTTGACTGTTCTTGGTCAAACTACACGTCTATATATGAACGCTTCATTATGATGAATTGTAACAGACGCTCCAGCAAGAAGTGGGATTGGCTCAGGATGAGCAAAAAAAATGTTGGGGATTCCTGAAGAAGGGGGCATGCCCACCAGATATCTCATCCCTTGGAGGAAAAAGGATCCTTTTGGGAAACAGCCCTTCCAAGTGGGAAAGGAATCCAGCATGGAGAGGGAAGATTCCACACACCGCAGATGCAACTAAACCTCCCCCTGTTCAGTTTCTCTGGATATGGGGTCACCTAGAGGGATATTAAAAGAAAAGGTCCATGTAGTTAATCCTCAGGTCTCAGCAACATATTCCCCTTCCTCAGCTCCTCTTCTCTCAGCAGCAATGTGCAGAAGAGTAAGCACCAACAGATGCCGCACTCACTCAGCAGCGCAGACCTAAGTAAAGAAGGAGATGTTGTGCTGGACAACTGAGTCCAGGCTGGGCTGCACAGGCATAAGAGACCAGAGCATGTAAAGTGAGGATATACTTGAAAACTGGGAAAACTGGCCCCAACATGTGTCTCCCTGTCTCTTCTAGTTTAGTTATTGGGAGAAGCTGCATATTCTGGGACTTGGACCCAGAGAAGAAGAAAAAGCTGCTTTTATTGTGAAACAATAGACCAGAGGATGTTTGCTTTGAACACTGGGGAGGAAAATGGAGCTGCTGTGGGAACCATGTTCTCAAGACCCTTGTGTGATGTCCCCTCTGCACAGGCTGCTGAAGCACCTTCACAACAAGGAGGGAGCCTATGAGCAGGGGCACGTTCTGGTCTCACCTCCCCATGAGCTTGCATCCTGTGGAAGGTGCCAGGCCTCCTAAATGAGGGACAGTGATGATCAGCCTCTTCCTCAGTTGGAGCCACTGAGAGTCAGGGATGATCATTACCAGAGAAGTGATCAGGGATCCTGGGGGCAGAGTCCTGACAGCAGAGATAAGGAGACTGGGCTCAGCCCAGACACTGTACACCACAGGTGTGATACCCGATGTCACTTCCAACAAGGGAGATGGTCAATGAGTGTCCCAGAGTCTGGACATTGCGAGAGGCTCCAAAAAGAGAGTCTGGGCCTGGGAAACTGGAAAGAGGGAAACACACTCAGGGATCCTCAGTGGTGGGAAAAGTTGAGCCTGGGGTAGAAGAGAAATTGTCAGCACTCATGTCCTTAGGGTCACTTCCTGGGGGCCTCACTTGTCCCCTGAGAGAAGAGGGAGTGGAGAGAGGAGCACAGATCATGATGGATATAACCCAGGACATGGGCCTGAATTCCCCAAACCCTCTTCTCAACTACCCCATCTCAGAGGGATGTACTCACTCTATTATCCCAGAATGGCTTTTTCCTACACCCTAGTCCTTCATCTAAGGATGGTAGAGCTCAACTGAAGTGCTGGCCCTCTGAGCTGTACTTTCTGAGTCAGGACAGACTGAGTCTGTGGCAGTGCCAGACACCATGGGGGTGTCCCTTTTCTTCCACCACAGACTCATGGCAGCTCCTAACTGAGGATCTGGGACAATTTCATGCTCTGAAGAGTGTAGAAAACACAGGGTTCAAGGCTGTCCGAGGAGCTCCAATCACTCATTTTCTGATGCTGAAACCCAAGGGTGATTACTTCTTGTTTCTCTTTACCTCTCCCTCGTTCTTCTCAAAAGCCTCTATGCCCCATGTGTGTGCAGTGGGCTGACACTGTGACCTGAGACTGAGACCTGGTTCATTGATTGTTTCATAAAGAAAGAACTGTTGGGGTACAAAAGAATTGTGACCCTATTTCTGAATGATAATAGGGGGCTGCTGAGAGAAGCAGCTCCTAAACTGAATCTGGTCCATTAACAAACCAGTAATCTCCCCCAACTCAGGCTTTTGCATGCCCCAGTGGCCCAGGTTCTGTAACACAATCAGCAGGGAAGACAGTTGAGTGGAGTTGAAATCAGTTTTGTCCTTTCTCCTTTCATCACTTTTCTCCTTCCTGTTCAATACAGAATGCTGTTTCTCTCGATTCCTTTTCCCTTTATCTTTTCCTGACTGAAATGTGTCCTGCCATACTGGTGTTTCAATACAGCACTTCACGATCATTCTACCTGACCCAGGAGGTGTTTCTTCCTGAGTGTGTGGCCCTGAGGGTTTCTCAAGTCAGTAATGAAGAGACAATGGGTGGGAAATAAAATGAAGTTGCAATGTTCCATCAAAAAAAAAAATAAATAAAGTTATGAAGAGGAGACCAAAGAGGACTATTTCCTTAAATGGTAAAAGAACATATGCTGCAAAATAAGAGGGAGTTGGATTTAAATGACCCAATGGGGAGCAGGAGGTGAACTCCAGGTTTGGAGGATGTGGAGGGAGGGGCTGGAGTGAGGCGGTGCTGTCCTAGCTCCAGTCCTCAGGTCCCTCGTTTCAAGTCTGTCTGTCAAATGGAACATTTGTTGTGCTGACTGCAAGTAATTGTTATGCTTGGGGACATTTTCAAGACCCTCTTTCTCTTTTATGCCTTAATATTTGTTACCAAAATGTCAGCTGAAGAACGTTGTTCCCTGAATATTCATCACATTTCTTTACACTCTTCAGTCCCCAAATCACAAATCTCAGTAGTAGGAGTAGACTCACTCTGGACACTGTGGGTGAAACTGAATGAAAATATAATCATGTTTTTGCATATTAACTCCACACAAGTTATACTGTGTGTATTCCTGTGTTATATGTAATATAGCAATGAATGGGAAATAGAGAAAAACACAAATTTTTAGTAAGAATGAAACATGGTAAGTGTCAGCTGCCTTTGGCCTGAAGAAGTCCAATCCTGGGCCTCCCTGGTGGTACAGGGGTTAAAGTCCCAGTGCTATCTTGCTATTGCCAGCCACTCCAGCACTAGTTCAATCCCCAGTCAGGGAGCTAACACACAAGGCACAGCAGACCTCTGCTTTCTCACCTGCTGCTCCTCTCAGCAGTGTATTTCAGTAGATCCACCTGTTCTGCTCCGCATACTTTCTCTGGTGAACCCTCTTACTCCCCACACGCAACTATGGCCTACACCCCAGTTCTTGTATGCATAAATTAATAAAAATATTTTAAAAATTAAAAAAAGGAAGTCCAATCTCAACTCCACAGATGTTCCACCCTGAAGTGTCATATGTTAATCTCGCTGCCAATGCTGGACCTGCACCTCCCTGTGCCAAGATGAAGGCTCCACAGTCAACAGGAACAAAGACTGTGGAGGATCCGACTCACTCATGCTCTAGCTACAGTTTCCTTCCCACTGCTCACTTTTAAGAACCATACTAGTCACCTTTAAGAAAAACTGGAACCTTTTCAGGGCAGAGACACATGAGAGGTTTTGTACCTCTCCAAGCTCTTTGAAAAATTAAGAGACTTGGACAGATTCCCAGACATTCTAGAACAGTCATGTGTGGTTACTGGAACAGGGTTGCAGAAAATGATATTCTTTCTCCACAAACACTCACATCCTGTCGGCAGAAAATACCGGCAGCAGCACCACACTGACACGTGGCTGGGACAAGGGACATGTTCCAGCATCCCCAGCAGCAGAGAACCGGCTCCACGTAGGAGAACAGCCTGAGCTCTATGCCATGATTCTCCCGTCACTGAAGGAATGGAAAGTGCAGTACATTCTAGATCAGTCATTAATGTAGAGAAATAAAAAATCATTGCACCCTGAAAATAAGACAGCATCATTGTGGATTTTACTAAGGAGAAGAGAGGAGCTAAGAGAGAACTGAATTGCCAAGGCCACGTGCATGAAGACCCATCTGCACGGGTTGGGGAAGCAACTTCTGTGAAACAGGGAGGCCGTGAGGACAGGGCAGGTTCTTGTCTCACTTCCCCATGAACTTGCACCACTGTGATAAGTACCACCACTCCGGTATGAGCCACAGTAATACTCAGCCTCATCCTCAGGCTTGAGACCAGAGATGGTCAAGGTGGCCGTGTTGCCTGACTTGGAGCCAGAGAAGCGATCAGGGATCCCTGAGGGCCGGGAACTTACTCTATAAATCAGGAGCTTGGGTGTCTTGCCAGGGAGCTGCTGGTACCAGGACACATCGTTATAACCCCCAATGTCGTTGCTGGTCCCAGCACAGGAGATGGTGACTGACTGTCCCAGAGCCCCAGACACTGAGGAAGGCTGAGTCAGAGCAGACTGGGCCCAGGAACCTGAAAAGAGGAAAAACATACACTAGTGAGTTCGGTCTGAGCCCAGGTGAGCTGAGCAGATAAGGGTCAGCCGTGATGTGTTCAGTGTCCCTTCCCTGGAGGTCTCACCTGTGGCCTGAGTGAGGAGGGTGAGGAGGAGCACAGTCCAGGCCATGCTGGAGACAAGCCAAGGTCTCTGTCTTCTGATGCCCCAACCTGGGCCTGGCTCCCCCAGATGTCTCTTATCCCCAGCCCTGCCTAAGAGGAGGAAGAGGGTCTCTATGCAAATCTGCTTCCTGCTTCTTAGATTCAAGGGCCAGGTCACAGATGAGATCATTTGAATTTTCTTGCCTTTTCTTCCATTTTGCTCCACAGGCAAGATAAACCAACCTCCCCAAGCCTGGACATGACATCACAAAACCTTTGTGATACTCTCTGTCCCTCTCTCTTTAAAATTTCTAAGACTATTGTTTAATTCGCTCTTTCTTTTTTTTATTCCCAGGGATTAAATCTGATTCAAATTTCAAATAAATGGTACAATTATAAGGTTTGGTTCATGTGGAATGTAAATAGCATGCAACACCTTTTCTCCTCTGAATGCAGCTAAAAGCATTAGCTCATGCAGGGAGCAGTTATTTGAGTCCCTTGTAAAGGGAATCATAGAAGGTTCTAGGGAGAGAGACCTGCATTTGAAGTTATAGCCAAGCAGCAATTAGTTTCACCCTTTTCTTGTTGCATTCCATGGTCTGAGCTCAAAATAACTCAGCAGATTTGGGACATCTGAGTCTGCTTCTTCCTAGGAAAAGCTCAGAGGTAAAGAGTTCCTGGGACTTCATGCAGTTCTGGATAAATCACAGCAATGAAGGTTCGTCCACACAGGCCCTTGCTGCCCCCTGGTGGCCGCAGATGGTGCAGCCCAAGACCCATGGATGCAGAGCCTGGGAGCTGGAAATTCCTGCCCTGTCCTCTCAGCTCCTGGCCCTTCCCTGCAGTTGTGACAGACTCTACTTGCTAGAGCGCTCCAAGTCATTCTCTCTTTTCCGTTAGATTTTGAAACAAACAAGTAAACAAAAAGTAGAAAGGAAAGTTTGATTTCTGCAGCTAGCCCACCTGAAAAAGAAGCACACAGGAAATATCTATGGAAAGGACAAAGTATACTAGAAACCTGGAGAGAGAGAGAGAGAGAGAGAGAGAGAGAGAGAGAGAGAGAGAGAGAGAGAGAGAGAGAGAGCAATCCAGTTGGCACAGTAGTTGACTGCTGGCGTGGGTCCCACATGGTGCTCAGAGCTCTCCTGCCGCCCGCTGCTCCCCTCAGCAGTGTATTTCGTCAGTCTGCCTGTTCTGTACCCTGCTCTGGCTCTGGTGAACTCTCTCACCCTCCCGTGCTTCTGACTGTACCCACTGCTGGAAGGAAGGAAGGAAGGAAGGAAGGAAGAAGGAAGGAAGGAAGGAAGGAAGGAAGGAAGGAAGGAAGGAAGGAAGGAAGGAAGGAAGGAAGGAAGGAAGGAAGGAGGAAGGAAGGAAGGAGGGAAGGAGGGAAGGAGGGAAGGAGGAAGGAGGGAAGGAGGAAGGAGGGAAGGAGGGAAGGAGGGAGGGAGGGAGGGAGGAAGGAAGACACAATGTAAATAATCATATTTTAAAAATAAATCAATCTGGTTGGAAAATTACCAGGGTAATAGAAACATATAATCTAGCTATCAAGGTTCAAATCATCACACCTAAGACACAACTTCATGTCATATGAAGATAAAACTGATACACTGAAATGAGAGATGGAAAAATCTACAAATACATAACAAGATCTCATTATTCCAGTCTCAGTTTTTAAAAGTACAATTATACAGAAATTAATATGACATGAAAGTATTCAGCACCATCATGATCCAAGTGAACCAAATTGACACTTATAAAATATGCCATTAAAAATCAGAGCAAAGTACATGCAGTTACTATTTCACAAGAATTGTCATCAAATTAAGAAATATCTTGTATAATAAAATGAATGATATATTTATAACCATGATAATATTACAAAATATACTCTCAGACCATTATGAAATTAATCTGGAAGTCAATGGAAAAAATATCTGGAATTTTTCTGCATTCCAAATGTTTTTAGTTCAATTGCATCTCAAAAACACTAACAAAAGAGGCATAATTCTAAACCCCCAAACAGGAAATGAGACCCTGTTTGGAAATGTGTGTTTGCAGTGTAATCAAATTAAGATGATGTAACACTTCATTAGAGTGGACCCTAATCCACTATGACAGTGTCCTATAAGGAGAAGAGATGAAACACAAGCAAGCAGGAGAGATCATGCCACCAGGAGTCCAAGACAGAAATTAATCAGTTAGTGTTTTAAATCAAGAACTTTGTAGGGATTGCCCACATCACCTGATTAGGATGGAGAAAGGATTCTTCACCCTTTTTATCAAGGGGGTATAACTCTACAGTTAGGTTGATATTTCACTTGTTAACCTGCAGAATGGAGACAATAAATTTCTATTATCTTTAGGACAGTTTGAGTCATTTGATATGACATCAAAGACACTAATGCAACTTAGGAATTAAATGAAGTGGATTTAAACATGCATTCCATGTTAAAGCAGGATGGCCAAATGGCTTCAGAATTTTAACTGAGTGGAAGGAAAGTGAAAAGACAACATATTAAAACTGAGTTCTGTAAACTCAGTATTGACAGGGAAATTTATAGCTTCAAATTCCATATGAAAAACGTAGGAAGCAAAGGAAAAACATAAGCACAAAGCAAACAAAGAAGAAAAACCTACAAATAATAAAAATAAGAGCACTCATCAGTAAAATTGAAATTCCTTATCTGGACTTTCCAGGCATGACTTCGTCTCTCTGCAGCTACAACTGCCCACTCTACTTCCTCACTGCCCCAGCAGAGAATTCCCCAGTCGCTCTGTTCCTTATATCATCCATATTTTCTCTACCACAGTGCCTTTGTGCAAGCTTTTGCTCCCGATGAAAACCTCATTTTTCTCCAACGTTGTATGTCTTGTCTGTTGAAGACCCAGTAACGTACCCTAATATCCCACTCTCTGACGTTTGCTTGTTGAGCGAATCAAGGGGCAAGCTCAGGTTGGGGAGCTGAGCCACTGCATTTGTCTCAAAGACTCCAAAGCACATTCAGGGATGTTAGAGATAGTTGTCACGTTTGTTTCTGAGGTGAGTACATTTAAATTGAAATAAGCTTTCATGCAGTTTCTGCCTGAGTCTTCCTCCTCCAACACCTGTAAATAACAGAGTTTTGTTATCTCCATCTCTCTCTCTCTCTCCCTTTTCAATCTGCCCTCCATTCTTCCCTCTCTCTCTCCCAAAACCCCTCATTCCACTCACCCCACTTTACAACAGAGAAGGCAATCAGAGTTTGATGTTCCCTCAAGTATCCTTTGCTGGAGCACAAGATTCCTGATGCCAAGACAGGAGGGGATTTACCCTGCCTGCATCTGAGTGACAAGGAGAGGAGGGGATCCCAGCAGGGCAGAGAAATAGCTAATCCCTTTTCCAGGGACAGAAGACAAGGGCCAGGACGCAGCATGCTATTCTGTGTCCAGGAGCAGCGGGAGCAGAGGCCCATCCTCACTGAGATGTGACCCGGATGCTGAAGGCCATGATGTGTGACACCACCCAGCCTGTGGGAGTTCAGTGTGAAGGTACTGGTTGTTGACTGGGGAAATAAGAAGAGGGCAGCACAAGATTTGAAAAAATAATTACTCATGGAATATGTGGAGATTGACATCTTGTCGGGTATTAGCTCTCACCAGATCCTTGTTTCCTGAGGTGGGAAATCCCATCAGCTGCCATGTGCAAGCTAGGGAGCTTAGACAGAGGGCGTTTTCATTCATTTCCAGTGCAAATGCCTGAGAACCAGGGGACATGTGATGTGAATTTCAGCATTGGTCATTGAATGATATGAAGTGACTCAGCTCCAGCAGTGAGACAAGGAAAAGTGATTGCTCTTCCCTAAGTCAGACCCTCCCAGACTGGATGTTGTCCACGCAGTTGTCTTTACTGAGTCCACTGGTACAAACGCCAGTCTCGGGCAGGCAGGACTCTAGCACAGACCCAGAACAATCCTGGTGAATCCGGGTCCTGCAGGCCCACTCTAGCTGACATCACAGTGACCATTCCTCCTGAGGCGCTGGGGCTGGGTCCTGGCCAGAACATGTCATGTTCAGAGCTAACACAGGGAACGTCTGGTGAGATGCAAAGATTTGGTTACATCCTGTGCCTCTGAGGCTTAAACCTACCTTTATTTATACACTTGAACATTCCATGTTAAGTCTTCATGTCTACATCTGAACGTGTCTTTATGATGATTTGTAACAGGCGCTCCAGCAAGAACTGGAATTGCCTCAAGCAAAAACCAGAAATACTGGGGATTCCTAAGGAAGGGGACATGCCCACCAGGAATCTTCCCTTACAGTAACAAGGAACCTTTTGGGAAATAGCCTGGACTAGTAAGGAGTCAGCGCACCGGGGGACGACTTCAGGAAAGGGATCATGGATGGAAAGGGAGGATTCCACACATGCAGCTAAAATTCTTTCCTGTTCAGTTTCTCTGGATATGGGGTCACCTAGAGGGATGTTAAAGGAAAATGTCCATGTACTTTATCCTCAACCCTCAGCAACATTTTCAACTTCTCAGCTGCTCCTCTTTTTTATTTATTTTTTATTCACTATGGTTACGTATTTATTTTTATTTATTTATTTTCTTTCATCAGTGCTTGCTGTGCACAGTATTGGCTTCTCCAGTCAGGTGATCTCCCTGAAGATCTACTACAACAGCTCACTGTGGCTCATCACCATAGTCCCTTTAACTCTTCCCTCACCTATTTTGACAGATACCCCAAACAGACCGATGGATCAAAAAGTTGTGGTATAGATACTATATATATATATATATATATATATATAATATATATATATATGTGTGTATTTACACAGTAGAATGCTACTATATATATACTAATATATATATACACAATACAATATATATCTATACATTATATATATATCTTTACACAATAGAATACTACTCTATGATTAAAAAAAAGTGAAATCATGCCATTTGTGGCAACATGGATGGATGCAAGGAACGATGATAAGTGTACTAAGTCAGAAGAAAAAAGAGAAACATCAATTGA